GCCTCCACTTTTTGGAGCAGATTTTTCTACCAGCTGATGCACACCAACCCCATGAAGTGAGTTGGAAGAAGGTTTGCTGGAGCACTTGTGTCATGCTGAACCGTACAGATTGGGGATCGGGGGGGGGGGGGGGGGGGAGGGGTGTCAAACTCAAAAGTACGTCAATGTTGCGGGCTGAACTCGTAAAACACTCATCAAGCAGTGCAAAAGTGTATTTTAACAAGTAATGATAATGATATGAATTAACACAGGCTTAAGTTCAAATAATTAAAAGCCATGGCCTACAATTTTCCACAATTTTTTATGCCAATTTGTCTCAACTGTTTTGCATTTTTTCTTGCCATCATCATCATCATCATCATCTTCTTAATCTTCACCACCTTTTATTCAAAATCAAATTATTCATCTTCATCTTCTCCATCCTCATCATATTCATCATCATCATCATCATCATCAAATGCTAGTTTTCGAAAGGTTTTGGGGGCCCAAGTCCCCCCATCCATTCCTTTAATCATTTTGCTTCAAAGAGAAAGTTATATTTTTCTGATCTCCACCCCCCCCCCCCCCCCCCCAATCTACTTAGGCTTTCTCAGTAAATTGCTCTGGTTCTACCCTTGCCTTACCATTAATCTGGGTGGTCAAGTTCATTTATGTTGGAGTAAAATTTTGTGTAATGGAGATTCTCAAGATGGACTGCCTAGAATTCTCTCGCGAGTAGGATAATATGATTATTGGCCTGGTTGGCCCACGGGCTTTGGAGTTGTCACCTGTGTGCTAGAGGCCTTTATTGTTCAGTTGTTGGTTTTGGCTGACATTTGTAACATCTTCTACGTTTTAAGCCCAATCCAGTGTTTCTAAAGACTTGATCCAATTATCATAACGCTGTTGATGAAAGGAGTCGCTCTCACTGGAAGACTGGGACTCGAACCAGAACCTTTGGGAGGTGGCCCCTTATGTAAACATAATATTATTCTCCTTTTTGGCCATTAGGGGCAATAATTAAGGTATTTTAGACTCCAAGTGGGTGATTGGCGGAGCTCTGATATTGTTTTCTCCTTCTTTTCTGTCAAACATCAATGGTCTTTGTCTCCCCTGCTCCTTTTTTCCCAATAGCATCTGGAATTGTCAACATAATACCTAATTTAAATGCTGCGAGTACCATAAACTCTTACAAGAACTAACATTAAGAATGAAAGACTACATACCTATCTATTACAGTTCAAAGTATCGTGTTCAATCTATTATTTTCCTAGATCATTTTATAAAACAGAGTGTGAAAGATAACTTTACGTTGAAATTGGTGCCAAATTGGATTGTGAATTGAATTGTGCATTGGAATAGATTTGGGCATTAGAATTTTAGATTTGTGTCTTTGATTTAGAGTTGTGCATTAGAATTGTGCATTGGATAGTGAAATTGGTATCATAGGATTCCTTGCCCCCCAAAACATACATTTAGACACCAGAATGAAGTCAATAGCAGCATTTGACCCAGAGATACTCGCAAAAGTAGATTTCAAATGGCGGCCATTTTGAAATCCAATATGGCGGCCCATTAGTAAAAATATGCTATGCAGATTGTTACCATTAGATTCCTTGCCCCCCAAAACATACATTTAGACACCAAAATGAAGTCAAAAGCAGCATTTGACCCAGAGATAATCGCAAATGTAGATTTCAAATGGCGGCCATTTTGAAATCCAATATGGCGGCCATAAAGAGAGAAATCCGAGTGGCCCAATATCTAAAAATGTTTGCAATATAATAAAGAACATCTCTGCCAAATTTGGTGCTTGTATCACAAAATGCACAATCCTTTTAAATTTTTGGGCTAAACCGCCCCACTAGTTAATGGGGTTATAGTTCTGCTTAGTTTGCTTCTGAGAAACAAAAAAGACGAAAAGTTCACAAACTGCGAAATAAGCTATCACTCTTCAAGCGAGGATGATCCATACAGCTTAAGCTTACACTATCAACAAGACGACGACAACAACATAGAGCAGAATCCGAATTTCGGACGACAGGGTTTTTTTTAGAGTTTCGTATTGGTGTCGTTATGTATCAGTTGTCATAAAACGTTTCGGTTGTCAATGCCTTGCCTGGCGTGGTCGCCGGCACAAGATTCCTCTCTTCCCCCTTGAAAAAGCCTGGAGTGTAAAGGGAAGTAACCACGTAATAATGAATGATAATAATAGTATATTATACTGTTTTATTTGTATGTTATAATGGCAAACAATGCAGGGGCACACCCAGAGAAATTTAATTGGAAAACCTGAGCGAATGGGTGACGAAGAGACATGTGGTAAATGTGAGATTTTGTTAGAGCCTCCAAGTGGAGAAATGAATGGAGACCAACCTCTTTGATTGAGACCCATGGTCGCCGAAGTCTGTTTCAGATCTGATACTTTAGGTAATTATTAGTGTGGACAGATTTACATCCCTTCGTTGCTCTTTGTATCTGATCTCTGTTTGAAACCCTCGCGCTGGAAGTTCTGAAGCGTCTTACTTGCAGAACTGAATGACTTTCTTAGAGATTTAGAACTGACATAAACACACAGCTGAATTGTTAGGGTCAAAGTTCCTAAAATGTACGGAATTTGCTTTCTGACATGTGTGAGAGTGATCATATTTAGAAATCATTTAGAGGATGTTCGGCCATTTTGTACAATGAAGGATAAAATGGCGGCATTGAGCAATGAAAATGAGGAGCGTTTTCACCTAAACATTATTTGAACCCATGGAAAAGCAATATCATAGCAAATGAAATTTTAATATGCTAGCAGATTCCTGTTTGTAAGTAATAAGACATGCACTAGAACTCGAATGCAAGTGGCAAGCCATGAAACAACGGGTTCAATAAGACGAAAGCAAGTGCCTTTTTTAGTCCGTATTAATTATTTTAAATTATGAAAACCTAAAATTGCTTGAAAACAATACCTAAACGTCTAATTCCATAATCAGTATTGTGTCCAGTGCACAAAATCCACAGAAACAGTGATGTTCAAGCCGCGAAACAGAAACTTTATGAATATTTGTAGACCAGTGCTATTTGCGTTGTCTTTTCCCCCCCCCCCCCTCTTTGCCCAATCCTAACAGATTGGCGCCTTCTGATTAGTAGGCTCCTATTTGAGTATGTAGATGACATGATTAGCAACCTAGTCAAAACACGGTAATAATAATTCTAATTTTGTATTTGGTAGAATGTTGTGGTGCTGATGATGCTGAGGTTGGTAGTGTTGCGGCAAACTGGTTGATAAGGAACATACGAGTAATTCTTAATAATTAGAAGTACATGTAGAGTGTCCTAAAAGGGTTAAGAGAAAGAAACACTACTATAATTCAGAACAGTGTTTCTTGAAGCTAATATTGGGCCTAGCTTCCTGTACTCCACTGAGTCACGAGGTGGTAACGTCGTTCTCTTTGACTTCTCCCTCCTCTCCCAAAACCACCAAAACCGCCCCACCATCTACCAACCCCGCCCCACCCCTGTGTATTCCGCAGATCCCCATTCGACGTCCCTGTGGTAAAAGTTGAACCTACCTACTTCAGGAAGTTTTTCCTCAAGGATCGACCCCATACCCCGGAACTGACGGCTTCTATCCATAGTCTGAAGACGAGACTCATCTTCATCAGAGACCCCTACGCCAGAATCTACTCTTCTTACGTTGACAAACTTATCGCACCGAACCCTATCCACTGGAAACGGTGGGGGACTCCTATAGCGCAGATGTACAGAGAAGGCAACGACAAAATTACCTCAGAGCAAGATCCCAGGCTGTGTGGGCACGATGCTACCTTCTCGGAATGGATTAGGTACACGCTGGACGTTGCCTGGAAAAGTGACGTACATGTAATGCTTGCCAGCAGCATGTGTCCAGCCTGCTTGTACAATTTTACCGTTATTGGTAAAATGGAGACATTTATCAGAGATTCTCTTCACGTAGCAGCCCAGCTGAACATCTCCGAGTCTCAGATCGGTTTTGACCGAATGGAAGCCGACGCGGCCGCCGATGCAATAGAAGACTCCTCAAAAGACTCGTTGTCTAATTATTGGCTCAAGCTATCAACAAGATGTGTGACGAAAAAGGACGTTCTCCAGCGAATTCTGCGTAAAGTCCAACTACGAGGTTTCGTCAGCTGGCGGTATCAGTTCAACCTGACCGACGAGGAGGTGAAAAATATGAATTTAAAAACTTACGTGGAAATTCTTACTCAAGCACGGAACAAATTTTACAATGCTGCAGAGCTGAAATTACAAAAGAAGCATGCGTTTAAGGAAGCCTACGCCGCTGTGTCGGCGGTTCTAATTCGCCGGATTGCGGACACGTACAAGATTGACGCTGATATGTTTGGTTACGAGACGCTACCCATGGAGTTAATGCAGCTGGAGCATGTGGCCAACACGCATGCGTTCGACCACACGAAACCTTGGGATCTTTCCGGTCTTATTGGTGGATAGAGCTGTAATGCTGGAACTCTGACTAGAAAAATGTTCTAGATGATTGTGTAATGAGTTGTGTGTGTGTGTGTGTTTGTGTGTCTGTGTCTGTGGGTGTGTGTGTGTTTCTGTGTGTGTGTTTCTGTGTGTGTGTGTGTGTGTGTGTGTGTGT